CATTTTGACACCAAATATCATAGAATTTTGTCAAACGAAATTCAGTTTTTCCATATCAAATCATACTTTCATGGCATATTCTGTAGCAAACATTGGTAAATATCCCTGTTTTAACGTACATGAACCATAATGTGCAAAGTATAATGATCTCATTAGATCATGGATCCATTCCTATCATTTTGTCTATCATTAGTTTGTGAAGTGGTGAAAAATTTTCATATCCTTGTTATTTCCAGCTGGTTCCAACGCTGATGTTTTTCACCAAAAAGCCGCTTTGTATTTTTCGAAATTCAAAAACTATTAGAATAAAAAGTACAGAATCATCGCAGTTTTTGACCGAGATTCGATCTATTTTACTTTTTTTTCACTATCATAAACTTTCATATCCTTGTTAATTCCAGCTGGTTTCAAATGCAATGTTGCTAGTACTCAGCAGCTGCAAAAATTGTAAAGGCGAATTCTTGACGATTAAAAATGACAAGATCTCTCTCATATTAGCATACCGGACTGCATTTTCCAAGTTTTCCTTTCGTCTCTCCGGGTCCCCATTTCGTAGCAGAGGTCACTTGTACTAGAAAATGTTACTGTTTCGCTTGACATTGCTTCTCGGAAAGCTAATCTGTCAATTTTAGTTAAATCTGGCATCATCATAACAGCATTGTAAGTTTGTGATTCTGATTTGGTAGATATTCTGCAGAAGAAGAATTTTCTGCGACTGTTCAGTTTGAGTGAAACTTGATTGCGTTCAAAAAAAATCGGCTTGACTGAAATGGAAACTGCGGTTCAGGATTTTTTTGATTTTTATCTTACTGTAATTGACTTTGGCTTTTTTCGCTAGCAAACACGAAGTTTCACCGAATAATTCACATTCACCATTTCCTGTCGTCGTCGTTCGACGGCTAAAATGTGCAGTCAAAACTTCAGCGGATATTTAGCTCATTTTTGCAGCAAAAACAGTGAAACTTAGCGAATAATAACTTCGAGAAGCTGGTAAGCCAAACCACTTCGTCTAGATTTTTTTTGAAGGTTTGCGGAGCCCACAATGGACCTTTGAGTTAGTGACAGCCAGAGAAATCGCGGTCTCCAATCTAGTGGGTTGCCAGGTCATTTGAACGTACGCACAATGATAGATCGAGTCTCGGTAAAAACTGTAATGATTCTGTACTTTTTAACTCAATAGTTTTTTGAATTTCAAAAAATATAAAGCGGCTTTTCGGTGAAAAAACATCAGCGTTGGAACCAGCTGGAAATAACAAGGATATGAAAATTCTTCACAAGTTCACAAACTAATGATAGACAAAATGATAGAAATGGATCCATGATCTAGTGAGATAACGGCATTCGTATGGACATGCATTCTTCCCTCCATGTCACGCTCTTGCTTTTGAAGCCAGGAGACAATAATTATCGAGGATACCTCATGAGCGATCAAATCACTCAAAAACTATACCGCTCGATTGCAAATCAAAAGCTGATTCGAGTCATATATTTCATAAGATTTTGCTGCTGGAAATTTTTTCGTCATTTTGCTTTAGGAAAGAATGATGAGCATGGATCTTGCACTAGTAATTTCTGAGACGTAGCGTTTTTACAGGAGTGGCAAGTGCAAAAAAATAAAAGAGTGAGTACTGGATCCTACTAATAGGGTAGTCGCTGAAAATATAGATGAATCATTGAGCTGTTATATATCCACAAAATCAGGAATTTTACAGACATGTCCGAAAAAAGCGTGCGCGCTGTACTTTGACGGCTTCTAACAGAACAAGAAATGGTCTATACATTGTAAGATTGATAGTCCAGTATCTGCTGGTTCTGTACAACAATTCTATATACTGAGTTTGTTACACCCTTCCCTGTTTCTACGGTAAGTTACGAGAAAATGGACTTCTCAAACATTTTTTTCAATCAATGCTTTATGCAGCTTGGTGGGTACATTGACAAGTCGAAAGCACATTGAGAAGTTGAAAGCATTTCAATGCTTATTCTACTTATGTTAAAGTCAACTTTTGAAATTACCGGTTTTTTAAACTGAATTTGATTTTTCAAATCGAAAAATTCATGAAAGCCGTAAACGATTCTAGAATTATGAGTCAGACCACAAATATGTTACAACAACAACATCATGCGTCATCATATTGATAACTTTGATAATAAATCGATACAGTGAGGTCACTACGGCTATGGCCAGAGCCAGCCTGATTAATTAGGGCACTATGAGGGACCAAAAAAACCTGGGAAAAAAATTTGGGATTTTACAGAATTTGAGCATATCCTCAGATAGCTTGGAACTCGGTTGTTCTGAATATCAACATTAGAATTCGCTGGGGAAAGCGTGAAGAAAGTTACACCAATCCGGCTTTTCCGACGTTGCATGGCGTTCATATCGTCGTATATCTCGCTCGATAGTGCAAAAAGGAACCAAGACAAGAGATCCTGCAATATTTGAGCATACCCAGACGTAGATAAAAACGCGCCGATTTCAAATATCTAATCGGAATTTCAGCTAAAAGACTTTGAGCCGAGTTACAGTAATGCGGCGCTTCCAGCGCGACATTGAGTTTAGATCGCCGCTGGCATGGAGCCAAAAAAACTTGTAAGCAAGATTCCGAAATTTTTGAAAACGTTTTTAGGTAGCTTAGGAGACGCCGATTCCAAATAACCAAGTCAGTATTCAAAAGATTTAAGTTGAAGAAATTTATGGCGGTGCGGCGATACCAACGCGGCAATGCGTTTATACCGCCGATGGTCCTAAAAAAAGATCTTTGTGGAGAAAATTGTGAAACTTTTGAAAACACTTTTAGATTGTCCAGAAGGCGCTGGTTTCAAATATCTAAGCTAGAGTTCAATTGGTTGAGGTTCAAGCGAGCTATCGCAATGCGGCATTTCCGGCGCAACAACGCGTTTATATCGCAGGATTTCAAGGCGGCAGTGTTGGTACTGTATCTCCGTAAGAACTTGAAGTGTAACAAGACTTATGTAACAACCTAATAAATCTGTTGTGAATCAAAAATTTTGATGGAAGAGAGTCGTCAATAAAAAGGTTTTGAAAAACCGCCATTACTTCTGTACCAACCTAAACGACAGATTATGAAATTTAGTGTGCGGAAGGTTATATTAGGTTGTTGCATAGGCCTTGTTACACCTTACGTTTACAATAAGTCGTAAGAAGTTCATAAATTCAATAGGGCTCCAGGGAACCATTCGATAGAGGAAAACAAGCTCTACAAGATGGTGTGCGAAGGTTCGTACCAGCTTCGACCCACCGTAAGTTTGCGTCTGGAATCTGAGTAGTGCTGAGGGCTGAAAGAATTGGAGGAAATTCATATCTTTGTTCAAAACATCCTCCGCTTCTATTGTACACCACATCAGACACTCATATGTATCGTTGCTGTATTCTTTCTTCATTTAGATATCGAGAAAACGAAAATTTTCTTGTTTTTATAAAAACGAAGCTGTGCTGTTTCCACTCATGTAATTGTTGACCGCAAGCCCTTAAAAGTATAACTGTAAAATCAGCTTTCCACAAGCCCTATTTTTAAAAAAATAGAATTTAGCATTGAGCACCCTAGTGAGAAAAGCTGAATTCGGTATTGGGCCTTGACGAATTCGGCTCTTGCAAGTCAACAGTATCAGATCTCGACACCGGAAATCCATTTATTTTCAACTGATCTTGATGCCTTAAGTTCAAGTAAAACTTTGTCTATTGTTTCGGTTCCATATAACTTAGTTTGTGCACTTTTTTGAATCCGTAGAACCTTGAATTTCACCATTTTCTGAGTAGCAATTTTTCCTATTTCGTTAGAAAGAAACGAAACAAGCACGTCCTTGATCGCATCACAGACTACATAATGCCGAGATTTGAGTGAGCATTGCTACCTTGATAGTTTAGGTAATGGTGCACTTATAATCAAACCTGAGATCGAAAAGTGCATTGCAATGATAAAACCTCCTGTGTTTAGCGGCTTATTGGAAACGGAAGATGTGTACTGCGCCACCTTCCTCAGCCTACTTGAAAACTAGTTTACATGCATCCTTCGGTTCTCTTTCAATATAGTATCCATCTTGTTCCGGCTGGGGAGTAGTCCGCAACTACGCAATGCAGCATTTAATAGGTGGAAGTGACATAAAGACGCAAGAAAGTCAGCTATTTTCTATAAGGTCTGCTAAAAAAAAAATAAGTTCGTTTTGGCATACAAATCTTCATAAAAATCATTTTTGCTTTATATCCAGGATTTTTTTTATGGAAAAGTTCAAAGCTTCCTCTATCATATATCAGATATACAGGATTTTCTATCATCAGTAAAGGTAATTATGCCTCAACATGGCTAAATTTCCAAACGTTCAATTCATTGACTTCCTAGGCTTCGTTTTCCTGCTGTAATGGAAGTAGGAAACAGAACTTTGGTACTCAAATACAGAAGAGTTCTTTCTGTTTAAGGAGTAACAGTGAAAATTGTGATCTGCCACTTTGAAAGTCTTTCATTAAAAATAACCAAATTTCTTCATATTTGCGCACTGTAAGGAAGCCGCAATTTCTCACTTCTTTGCGTATTTATTTCCTTGGATAAGTTCTACTCAAATTGAACATGCTTCAATCCCCATTGAAGTGCTCTTTCTAGAGGTACCAAACACTGCACAATAATTTGTCTGCAGCATTTGTAAAAGCCGTAAAAGCGAGCGAACTTATTCGTTGGCCAATCCAATATAAATCTCCTTCATGCGAGACTAAAACCCAGATTTCTCGCAAACATGTGTAATCATATCAAATGAAAAGCAGCTATTAATGGGAGTAATGATTGTGCCACAGAGTAGCTGTCAGATGTTTGTTGGTTATTGCTGCAAATAAAATGTCTTTATAGCAAAAGTTTGCCTTTGTTTGGTCCAGAAAAAGACAAGCTTCTAGCTAGCTATGTACAAGCTATAAGCTATATACTTTCTGCATGCTTCTGCGCACTTCGCAAGGAAGTGCGTCATTCATGTTGTCAAATACGTCGCCATATGTTAGCTTATAGATATTTATTACGTTACATTGTCATCAAAAGGCCATAAGAAAAGATGTGATTCAATTGGTTTAGACAAAGAAACGATATACATTTTCTTTTGCATGTTGATGACTCAGTCACGAAGATCATCGGGTTCTGCGGAGTGAGCATGGACTTGGTGTTGGCACTTTGTACGATCCTGGAATGAGCACGTGTATTTTGTTTCGAGCCAAATCATATGGCAGTGTTCAGGAACCTCCCGTTTCGATGTATGCACTAGTTCTTAGGACCGACACATGAGAAGGCGTTGTTTGCTTCCAAACAAAAATTCAAATCCCAAAGTTTTCTCTCAGGAACTTAAAGTATATTCTTCCTAAGTAGCTTTATTTGCCAGCAAAATTATACAAGTGCACCAAAATTTACAGATGGTAGTGTCAAGCGCTAAAATATGAATTCTGCTCTGGTAACAGAAAAATATTATCAAGCACGCAACTAAAGGCTGCTCTTATCTTATAATCGACTATAGTTGGAATCGAATTTTCGTAGTCGAATAATTTGTTCGATTCGAAAAAGTAAGGTTATTCGATTATCTGAATAGTTGCATAAATCAAAAACGCCTTTATTCGAACAACTCGTTCATTCGACGACTCGGAAAAATGACTTATTCGAGTATTCGAATATTTGAGGAACTTTAGAAGACAGTTACTCGAATTCTTGAATATTCGAGAAAATTCGGAAAGAGGTGTTCGAATATTCGAATCTTGCATTCGAATATTCGAATATTCGAATATTGCATTCGAATATTCGATGATATTTTCTTATTCGTTTATTCAAAAAATCGAATATTCGATTAAGTTCGGTTATGAGATGTCCATATTCGAACATTCGAAATCGAATAATATGAAAATCGCAAATCGAATAAAATTCGTTCATTGGAAGATCTTCCGAATTTCATTTATTCGATATTCATTAGTTCAAAATTCTTTCAAAAATCAATTGTTCGATATTGGTTCATTCGATTAAAATCTCCGTTCGTTACAGCTATATAATCAATTGCAACAATTTAAAATATCCTTTGCAAAGTTCTGAGGATATCCTCAAATATAGTATAAAGTCTCTTTTCATAACAAGTTTCCTTTTCTTAGCCGTCGATCTGCTAGCACTTATCGCAACTTTTGCCCAAGTTCGCAAGTTGAGCGTTTGGCTAGATCTCGATGTACTGAAAGTTCATTGCTGGGTTCATACTGATCCTAAGTTTGAAACAGTTCCAACACAGCGCATAGTTCGAGTGCTGTGCTCGGACTGTTCGGGATACAGTATGAGCCCAGCTTTAGGCGGGGATCTCTTTGTCGTATGTCAGCCTTCATCGATTTGGCCTTTAGCCAGATCTCGATAGAGTTAAGTCCCTTTGGAAGCGGGCCTTTGCTTTCGCAAAACCACCATATACATGTAGTTTACAAAGCAAGGCTTCATGCTTTTATTAGCGCCAGCATTTGCAGATGGAAAAGCAAGCAGGCGGCACGTCTGCACACCTCCGCGATGCGGTTGCGTAGGTGAGAGAAGGAAGAGAAATTTTTATTTATCTATTTTATTCCGATCGAAATCGCCACTAGAGGACACTCTAAACCAGAGCTAGACTCTTTCCATATGCATTTCTTGAGATTTCTCAGTTGGGAAGGTTTCTCATTCGGAATCAATTTACCGCTGTGATCACGACGTAGGAGTGCGGTAGGGGTATAAGGACTCACGTTCACCTAAGGCACGCTGTTCAGGTTTTATCTTGCACAGTTCGTGAGAAAATGCGAAAGCGGCATATAATATTAGTTTAAATAGGATGTGATAACAGGGAAGCTCTGCGAAACCTCTGCGGTATGTAGAGGATATCTATCCCAACATGAGTGTCAAAGCCGCCGCGACTCGTGTCGTCGCGGCCGTCTTGCTGAGGCCTTGCGCCGCTCAATGCTTGCGGTCTCCTCACTCGCTTCCTCTCCAGTTCCAACTATTTTCCCTTTTTTGATCTTGATGTTTTTTGATGTACCAGCTCAGTGGCACTCAGTAAAACAAGACGGATGCTGTCGATGGCTAAGGTTGAACTTGATTTAGAAGCGAGTTTCGGATTGCTCACGTCATGGACTGAGAGTTCACATGGATAGAATAGTCAGTGCGGACAGGCGCAACAAGCAAAGCTGGTTGTAAATAAGACTGAGAACACTTCAGTCAGTACAACATCTTTTTGTCAAACAGTCGACGGCAGACCTCCGGAGCAGAAATGGCCGAGCCGCGGGGTTTCCCAGCGGGGGATTGCCACTCGTGCTCCGGAGGTGTCCCAAATCTGGCGTACCTCCAGAGATTTGCGCGTCCCGGAGAGGGGTCCCATTCGCCTGCTTGTGACGTCGCCGTAACCTACAAGAAGAGACCGCCCCCTCGCCCCGCTCTCAATGATCAATTGGGTCCTCCGCGGCTCTGCCAGATTTCGACTGTCCTCCGGAGCTACGGCACCGACTTTCTGAGTTGTATCATTGCTCCTTAATCCTCATTCTCTGTTTCGCAGAGAACATAGAAGACCAAAACTGATCACAAGATAAGGAACGCTGAGGGTTCCCATGTAAAATCGAATAAATATGTTGAACAGCGCTGGATGGGACAACCTCTCTTTGTCGAGAAAAAGAACAAAAGTCTTGTGTTGAATGTGTGAAACAGTTGCAGCGAGTATTTGGATTTGTTGTATTAACCGTTTCCAACCTTGCAAGCGTTCCCCATTCCACCAACATTCCAGTAATTCTAAATTGTGTTAGTGCATACACGTACTCCATTCAAGTTAAAGAATCGTTAATGGCTGCATGAGGCCACTTTTCTTGCATATCACTTGTATTCCAACATTCGAACTCATTGATGTATACCTTATTATCTCAAGAAGATAAGACAATTAGGTAGTTTGAGATTATGTTTGTTAGTAGTAGAGATTTTGTAGATGAAAACTAATGAGTAAGTTAAATACTCATAGAGCTCAATATTTCTGCTAAAAGGGAATAATAAATTTCAAAAGCAGAAAAGTATTGAGTGGAATACCGCGTCGTCGTGTGTTTTCAGAGTGAATATCGTAGAATAGATAGGGAGCAAAATTTGAAGCACTTGAAAAAAATTAAGACTTTAACAGCTTTGATAGGCCGGAAATTTCTAAGAAAGGTTTGTTGATCTAGCGTATAAGTACCTTTACGACGCTTGAAATAGCACCAAAGTTCTTCGTATGCAGAAAACATACAATTTGTATGTACGGCACAGTTTCCGCATCGATTTTCCTATCCACCAAGCATTCAAGAGGTTGCCAAAGCCTTGTGAGCAGGACCCGGCGCAGGTGGAACCGTGTTAAGCTGAGTATCATTTTTGGGGGAAAGCGAAGCGGATATCGCTTTTGAAAGGTCCGGGACACAACCGCAAGCATGCCGCCCAGAGGAGAAGTGAAAACTGAGTAAGGAAGATATGGAGAGGAGGGAACGCGTGCTAGATGAGTAGTTTTAGGCTCCAATGATGTAGCAGAACGCGGGGGCATAATGCACAAAATTAAAAATTTTTGAATTTTCTGTTCAATGAACAATATGAGAGGGGGATCCCACCAGGGTTCGGCTTAGATTGTGTGGAAACGTGCTGGACTTAGTTTTTGCGGCGAAAATGAAGAGGGGATATCGTTTTTGTGGTTAGAAAGACGGAAAAAATTGCCATGTTTTTTAGTCGATGTTTCGTTCTTTAAGGTTTTTCAGATATGGTCTGGGATCAAAGAGGACTTCGTAAATTTTAGCGAAAGTCAAGGGGGACTTCGTTTATAAATCCTAGAAACGAACTCATGCCGGTCCCTGGTTTCCACCCTTATAACAGTACTCTGGGATGAGCGACAGCACAAGCAAAAGAGAAGTGAGATGTAGTGAGGGCGGGGGGGGGGGTCGAACAAGGTCAAAGGGGATCGTAAGAATTTTTCAAAACCAAGGGGCTTTTGAATTCTTCTGGTTCCAGCTGGTGCCATGCCCTGATTGTGGGGCCCGAAAATCAGAAGAAACTTTGAACGTACCTTGGTATGCGCTGCTAACCGGGCACGGCTTCAAATTGCATGGTTCTACTTGGACGCTTGAACCACTAAAGCAATTCGACATTATTTCGTGTAAGCTGAATGTGCAAATCTCTTCAGTATCAAAACTTTCAATGCTCACATGCATTTACGCTTCGGACATTCCCTCCTCCGCTGACGGGTACCACAGTTACCACAGGTCAATGAACACTGAGTCCATGGAGTCCACTGGGACCAGAGTGCTTGAAAAACAACGCATAAATTTTAACCAGAATTATTCACTCAATTAGCTTTGCAAGCGTTAATAAATCAATTTCCAAAACAAATCCTAGCACTCGCTTAGTGGAGCTTGATTTACCCGGTGAAGAGGTTGGTGGTGGCAATGGAGGTAAGGTGACCGGACGTAAAGTGGTCGGCAGTGGTCGGAAAGTTATAGGAGGTGGGCGGAAAGGGGTCGTCGTTGGTGGCGCAGCGGTAGGGGGTGGCGTCCTTCGGATCACTTCTTCTAAAGAGATATGTTGAAAACTGAATAGTTGAGCATTGAAGGGCGCTTACCCATTCGATAACGCAGCACAAAATTGGATTGTGCTGTGGCACGAGTCAGTATAAGGATTGAATCTCCTTTTGAAACGAACTCGTCGTATTCAGCCTTACAGCACTGTCTGAAGCCTGTTTTGTCATGCGTTTCGTCAAATTTGACCTGGAAAAATATTTTGTATGAAACAAAACATGTGCAAATGGATGGGATGACGTAATTTGTACCTCAACAAATTCTTCACATGTAGGAGCACATTTGAAATTCACGGATGTGAGCTTGAAGCGGATTCTTTGCCCAGGTTCCTGGTAATGTGTTTCAACAAACATTTGAAATAATGCCAGAAGCAGCTATACATGTATACACTTGGTGCTAACACTACATATCTCTGGATCTGCGCAAATTTGTTCTGATGCTGTTGCACTATGTATGCTAGCATATAAAACCGCCTATAACTTCTGCAAAAAAGACGTGACGGTCAAACGAGCTAAGTGACATTATGGTTTCGTAGCCATATCCCTCTTCAGAGTGCACGAAATCCGAATCCATAAGCAGTTTAATTCATTTCGGCCAGGCGCATCATCTAATATCAAAAGTTGCCTGTTTGGTCACGGTAGGCGCACGGTGGCCAGCCGGTCGCTAATCTTTTCAGATTTCTGCTTACGGTACTTACTGAGGAGCTTAACACTACACAAAGACGAATCTACCAGTTGCTCAGACAATTACTGCGAGCACCCGCGGCCCCTAACGGTGCCTTTTGGCGGTGCGCGGGCGCTGAATTCTTGGAATGACCATCCGCGGCCCTAGAATTATTTGCTTGGCGACCCGCGGCTCAATGTTATCGCTAAGGAAAGGCCGCGGGCCTTACAAGTTTTATCGGAACACCCGCGGCCCAAGGAAAAGCACTCGGACGAGCCCCAGGCCTTACTGAACGCACTGTATATTCAGTTCTGGGGCAAGCCCAGGCCCTTTAGGCCACGGCCCGACAGAGTTACTCTGACGAGCCCCAGGTCTTGCATAAGCGCACAATTAATACACGCTATAAGAGAGAACGCTACTCGCGTGAGATACGCCGTGGTGATAGGGCTACCCTCAACATTTGGTGTTAGCCTAAAGTCAAGTAGCATCAAGTTCTTGATCATCAATTGGGTCTCGGATGAGCCCTGTTGGACTACTTGGTCTTGAGATCAGATGGACTGCCGAAAACTCTGTTATGGTGGTGTAGATGTCGCGAAATTTTGGGAATGAAAGATATGAACTCGTTAGTCCTACCGAGGTGTATTGCCACCCCCCCCCCCCCCTCCCCCGATGCATATTGCGCACTTATCGGACGCTTGCCGGGCTACCCGCTGGCGTTGTCGGGCGCTTATCGGGCACTTATCGGCGCGCCCTCGGGATGGGCGTGGCGTCGCCCGTGGGTGGCCGGCGGGTGCTCGCCATAATTGTCTGAGTGCAAGCAAAAATTGAATTTATTGAAATTTGGCTGCCTATCGTGCACACATGGTATTCTAAACAGATGTCTTTATACCAGAAGATGCGCTTCATCGAGCTGAACTGAACGGTGTCTTCGAATTCAGATTTTCCACTCTGAAACGAGATATGGCCACGCAACGGTGATGTTACCCAATTCACTCTTACAATTCGCAAAATACTTCCTATGGACAGTGGAAAAGTTTGACGCGTCTGGAGGGGGCTCATAATCATTGCAGGGGCGGGGCGAGGGGCGGTCCACTCGCGTTGAGTTATAAAAAGCCGAGAAGAAGACTTCCGGAGAACGTGCTCCGGAGTTGCCAGAAATTTGCGAATTCGCCGGGGATCTCTAGGACTACTGCTCCAAGGAAGGACTGCTATGTGCCTCCAAGGAGTTGAAGGACAAGCGAGCCTACGATGCCTCACCCGGACATTCCACATCAAGGAGTTGAACGTCGATATACTGAAGGTATCGATATCGATGTATAGTTGGAACACTTCCATACATTTTTGTTTATATTAGGTTGTAACATAAGTCTTGAAACACTCTTACTTCTTACGGCGATAAGTCATACAGTTCACATTTTCAATGGGGATCCAGGGTACCATTCGATAGAGCAAAGCAAGCTCTACAAGATGGCTTGCAAAAGTTCGCTCCAGCTTCGACCCACTTTGAGTTTGCAACCAAAATGTGAGTCGCACTGAAGGCTCAGAAAATCGCAAAAAATTCAAAATTTCGTTCAAAAAAATTTTACTGATCTCCAACTTGCTCACAAAAATTGCACACTGCCTCAGACAGTCAAATGTACGTTTCTGAATTTATTCCTCATTTAGAAATCGAGAAAACGAAAATCTTCAGGTTTTTACAAAAACGAAGCTAAGCTGTTTCCAATCATGCAGTAGTACACCACAATCCCAAATAAGTATAACTGTAAATTTCAGCTTTCCACAAGCCCTAGTTTTCGAGAAATACCGAATTAAGCTCTCCTCACTCGGGTGCTTCATGCTAAAATCAATATTTCTCGAGAACTAAGGCTTGTGGAAAGCTGAAAATTTACGGTTATGCTTCTAAGTGCTCGTAGTATACAACTGCATAATTGGAAATAGCTTAGCTTCGTTTTTGTGAAAACCTAAAAATTTTTGTTTTCTCGATTTCTTAATGAGGAATAAATTCAGAAACGGTACATTTGACTGTCTGAGGTAGTGTGCAATTTTTGTTAGCGAGTTGGAGATTCGTAAGATTTTTTTGAACGAAGTTATGAATTTTTTGCGATTTTCTGAGCTTTCAGTGCGACTCACATTTTGGTTGCAAACTCAAATTGGGTCGAAGCTGGAGCGAACTTTTGCAAGCCATCTTGTAGAGTTTGCTTTGCTCTATCGAATGGTACCCTGGATCCCCATTGAAAATGTGAACTGTATGACTTATCGCCGTAAGAAGTAAGAGTGTTTCAAGACTTATGTTACAACCTAATTTCCCTTTTTATTTTCTGATTTATTTTCTCATATCTCATAGGAGTGGCTCTGGATTGCCGCACTTTTTGTAATTTTCTCTCCTTTCCTTCCGACTACTTTTTCTCTCAAGTAGACAACCACCTCAAATTCCTTATAAGTTTGTGATCTGTCATCAAATTTTCGACTTGCTGCAGTCCTCTATCTGATCATGCGCTCATTTGCCTTACTATCAAAATTGTGACTGCAACACTAGAGTCTCTCAGGCGTTCGAAAATAAGTCTTCTCTCTTCAAACTTTCCTACTGCAGAATTATTATGGTTTGGTTAGGGCCAAACCATAATATTTCAGCAGTAGGAAAGTTTGAAAAGAGAAGACTTGTTTTGAGCGCAATGTTTTGTGTTTGTATTACAGAGCTGTGTGACTCGTATCTGCTGTTTTCCGTTTGGTGGCTTGTTTGTGTAGAGATGCGGATTTGCTCTGTGAAGTGAGGTTGCGATAGTGACCTTGCACGGTGCCTCTCAAGGGAGTTGAAAACCCATCTACAAAATATGAATTATGGATGTATATGTGCACTTGAATATATGCCGTTAAGTGTCTAGGCTTTCGTCAATCTTTATTTCTCAACTGTCTGTTTCACAAGGAGCGCTGCACTCCAAGAAAGATGATTCCTTTTCAGTTCATCGGCCTCCGACTTCACTCATTATTTTCACTCTCTTCTAGTTTTTTGAATGTTCATTTCTGCCTCATATCTTGTGTCTATCCTAATTATTCCCATGTTGTACTTGTTGTTAGTACACCGTCCAATTTCTTATATGTGAATTTTTTTGTCTTATCTCATTTAGATCTCTTTTAATATTTTTCTCACTGCAAAACGAGTGCTTCTTCTGTTATCATCGTGTTTTTTTTTCATCTTATTCTCATTCATTACCAGAACTTGAGTCTTCTACTTTACTAGTACAAATAAATAGTATTATGTCTAGTAGTGTTCGCTTTTTTCGATAAGTAGTTTAGAATGGGGACTGGATGTCTAAAGGTAGTTTGGGTGGAGTTAAGGGGCTAACATAGGGCTTTGTAGCTAAATTAGAGGTTTGCAGTATGCCTAGCTCAATTTAGGGCCAGTTACAATAAGTCAGGTGTGAAAATGCAGAATTTTCGGAGCGCAGGACTAGCTACAGTATGCTAGCCGCGAAAATGCAGGGTTTCCGGAGCGAAATAGGCTTTCGGGTGGACTTCCGGAGCACAAATATGGGAAGGATCCGGTGAACGAGTGGGCAGCCCTCGCTGGGGAGACCCCGGCCGTCCTCACTTTACCCACCGAAGTATCCCCCGTCGGTTGTCTGAGCAGCATCGCACCTACTCGAGATATACAGGGTGTCCCAAAAAATGTGAACACTCTTTTATCGTTAATAACTCCGTTGCTTTCATGTCTCTCGCCGAGCTTGAAGCACCATTCTGTGGAGCGAGGTTCAAGTTAGATTTATAGTATGGAGCGAACCATCGCTCGCTCTTCGTTACTGTTACGGTATGAACATTTAACATGTGGATCCATTGTGAAATATGCCATTTGACAAAGTTTTTTTCAAAAAATCTGAAAAATCGTGTACTAGGGTTTTCGCGCACGCTGATTCCATAAGATAACTTTTTGCGAGTGTTTTTAGCTTTTCTGACGGGGTAATCACATTTCTCACAAATGCTGGAAATTCATTTATTACAGGTTACCTGGAGTAACTTTGGAAAGAAGCATCACAGTAAAGTGGAGATTTTATATTCAAAATCAGCGTCTTCCATTACCATAATATAGAAGTTTTTGGCTTGTTTGGTTCTGTTCCGAGGCAGAATATGGCCTCCAATGGCCTAGATTCCTTGTCGAAGTTCCTACCGTAGTCCTACAGTAATGAAGAGCGATTGCCGATTCACTCCACACTTTAAGTCTAAGCTAAACCTCGCTCTATAGAACGTTGCCTCAAGCTCGACGAAAGACATGAAAGCAAGGGAGTTATTAACAATCAAACAGCGTTCACATTTTTTGGGACACCCTGTATAGCTTTGTGAGCATAGGCAGTTGTCACTGACATGTAATTCGTGCTTAAGTGATGGAACATAAACGGCAAAGAGCGCATACCGTCTTGATACGCCAATAGCATGAATTGGATCCCGAATAGGTCAGTTCCTTCCAGCTAGTACTGGTCATCATCGGCAAATCAGCGCCGCAACCTTTATTGGGTAGCTCAGAATAGTTTATGTGCTCGAAATAATTAATATCATACTTGAAGGTTCAACCTGATCGCAGAGAGTACCACCCAATCCTTTCGGACACAAACATCTGCTGCAAGCGTTTGGATTGGGATATCCACCATGCTGACAAGCTAAAACGTTTGTGCAAGATCCTGAAATAAAGCTATTATCTTCCGGCATAGTCTGCCTATTACGTACTAGAACAGTATGCTCTGTTAAGTAGCTTGAAATCAAGAAAAGACGCTTCCACCCTGCTGCCGATGGTGTGTTCGAAATGAGATTGAAGCGGTATTACTGTTTTCAATTGGGTCGATTTCGAAAATGACTAAAATTAAGAGAACTTTTCAGTCAGTCTCTATTATAATATTGAAGAACGTACGGTACTGGAATAATGCATCACGCTACCGTAATCGTATGGAATACCGTAGTCCACACTTTCGTCGTAACCATGCTTGTCAAAATTCCCTTCAGTCCCTGCCACTGCATTTTCTGCGTTTACCCTGTAAGAGAACTACACTGATTGCTGTCAGCAAAAGTTTTGTGACTGCGACCAAAAGCTGATGTGCTGCACTCACCTTACATAAGTGTCCCTTTCTGGTCGAGCTTGTTCATGCCAGAAACCCAATGCGTGCCCCACCTCGTGGCTTATGATGCCTTCCTAGAGTTTACGATATGTTTTGCCGCGAGCAACTGCAAGGTTTTTAAGGCTGCGTCCAGAGTTGCTCATTCCAACACCACTGCAGCACCGTTTTTGCGTCATGGGGTCGTGCCAGGATGTGCCGCTGGAGTTCGGTCCATCAGTACGCGGCGCATCCGCGTGGTTTCCGGCGCAGTGCCGTTCAGAGATGCCTAACTCTGAACGCAGCCTTAGCTACGCTGTCATTGTTACATTTGCATTTAGTGCTTACTGGTACCTTTCCGATAGCAGGATCCATCTTTCTTGACGAGAAAAGGAAGGGAAAGGTTTCAGGATCTGTGAGGGCTGTCTACCTGCCACGTGTCGAGAGGAAAAAATTGACGTTGACCTAATTATGTTTAACTTTGGCCGCTCAACGATTTTTTTTTCAAAGTCATTTGCGGTAAAGTACGAGAGCATTTGAGATGAATGAAAAGCCTATCCAACAGTCTGTAAAAGCAAAAGAGTCAAAAGGGCAAAAAAATTATCTTGATCGCTTCCAGCAATTATTCAAAAAATCCTCTTCAAAATGCTTCCGCCATGCGATTCACCTAGAAGAAGAATTTAAATGATGGCGTAAAGTACGTTGCTGCAGTTGTTTCGCCAGCTACTTAGTGGAACCCCAACTTCCATTCTGTTTTATGCAAATCTAATATGTTAATTCCTAACAGGATGACACTACCGTCATTCTAATGTTGATTTTCACAATTGTTAGGCTGAGGGAGATGAGAGGGATATAGATTACAAAACGAGATGAGTTAAGTTGGTAGGTAGCGATACAAAGCTTTTGATAAAATTGGTTGTGTAAATAACATGTCAATTTTTGTTTGATTTGCTCGACACATGGTAGGAGGTTCTCGCTCTTCCCTATACATATGGTTGGCACTTGGTACAAGGATAGAAGCAATATACCGTTTTAGAAAAGAGGGTTTCGATAACGCAAAACCAAAAACTTTACATATCGTATTCAATTTATGCTTGACAAGTTTTTTCTGGTTTGAGTTTGTGTTCGAAGATTCCAGTACGTGGGAAAGTGTTACAAAGGGTTGATAGATCAGCGCCTTCAGTGATTTCTCAGCTTCACGAACGCATTCCACATTGTACATAGTCAAAGAACAGTACGTCTTCTAGGGCTGAAGCCTAGCTGGCTCATGACGGGTATCACACTTTCTTCTATCCGCAGCAGCGCCTCTTACCACTACTTAACTCGCAGAGAATGAAATATTGTGCAAAAGTTTGACTGCGACAAAGCGAGCATGCAAAAATTATTTTGCATTCAAAACCGATCTATAAGTGGACAGGGGTTGAGGAAACACTAGAGATATTCACCGTATCACATCCCATTCCAATCGACACCTCTTGTGCTCCACCCAGACGTCCTACCGGTGAGTAGCAGCTGGAAGATATCGAATAAGTTTGCGTGCAAATGCTTGTACAAAACTCGTATAGCCTTCTAAACATCTCTGTTACTATATGAAGCTGTGGAGGTTTATAAGAGCATATCAGACAAAGTCTTCTATTCAACAAAAAAGCTTCTGCAATGCAATAGAAACGTCACTTGGATGCTGTTAGCCTCCAGAGATTTTGAGATTGCGACCACGCCGACGGAGTCACTGTACTTGATTGTGGCTATGCGCTTCACTGTAGTACAGGAGCGGTTAAAAATGAAAAGGTGCCATTCCAATTTCAAATGAAAACGCGAGCTTGCATGCAGAAAGCTTCATCTTCAACATGATTGACATGGTTTCAAGGATGGAAAAAGTCGAACTTTTTTCTCTTATTGAAAAGTAATATCGTTCGATCTATGCTAGAAATACGCTTCTTACTGCATTGCAAATCTATAATTTAAGAGTTCCAGCCAGTGTCTTTTTCAGATCTACATTATTATAGAGAGCATTGAACGATATTCCAAATTCGTCTCTGATACCTGCTGCGCTCCTGTGGACGCCGAGTTTTGAAAGGTTCCACATTGAAGGTGGTTAGGATTGTGTGACTAACACTTTCCATTTTTCACTGATTAGTGTTATCGATCAGGATCAACAAAACTGTACTAGAAAAATTTCTGATACTTTTTTGAGAGTTATTTACTTTTATGCGCGAGCTGTGAGCTGCCAGAGTTCCAGACTTTTTGGACACTTTGTTCGTCTGGTATAATCCATAACAAGACCAATGAACTCCAATTACAATTTTAAACAAAACCCTCACCCTTCACCTCTGTTGAATATCACATAGTCCGCTCCTGGCCCATTCTCAGAAAAACGTAAGCAGGTATTTTTGCTGAATTTCTCAAGCACATTTCTGATATCCTTCTGCCATGACGCTGAAAACTTTCTTGTAAGTGCTTATTTAGTGCGCTTTATCTGTGCCTACCGTCACTTATAGCGAACTTATATGGTATGATGGTGCTTGGCCAGCGCAGAGTCATGTTGGCCACAATTTTTCGTTTGAAACGTCCGAATCTGTCAGCCAGCCGTGATGCTTGTGCAAGAGTCAGTGCAATGTCTATTTCGTACAAAGCTCCAAAAACCTAAGCAAAAGTCAATGCCTTTTAAGCTTAAATAATGCAAAATTTAGCAGCAACCTTGTTGTTTGCTGTGAGTTCGTTTTGCAAGCCTACGGGAGGGATAAACAATTTTCCTGGATCCTAAAAGAGGTTATATACTTTTGAATAACTCTTGTCATTTCTTGTATGTTGCTACTATTTTAACATATGAGCTCTTCCTTTGCTAATGTACACATTCGTGTGGATTTGTCGGTAAATGTAGTGACTTTGCGGCGCCGAAATCTTGCGGTGAAATATTGAATGAATAGCTATGCTCAAAATGCCGGCATTTTGCACTCGCAGATCACTTGCACTACAGGCTCAGATACTTGTTCACACGCAAATTTTACCGTAAAATATTGGCCCAGCAACAGCACTACGTTCACCAAAAAACTCAAGTGCAAGGCATGCGCCATACTTGATACGCTTAATCCACTTGATCCACTTGATCCGCTTCGTCATTCAGGGCTCGGCACGAGGTGGCTAGTTGAAAATGCAAAAAACGAAGTCCCCCTTGACTTTTGCGAATTTTTACGAAGTCCCCTTTAACGCTAGATCATAATTCATAAAATACCTCCAAAAAAGTCGACCAAAAAAAACGCAAATTTTCTGTCTTCTCGGCCACAAAAACGAAACTCCCTTTTCTTTTTGTCCCAAAAACGATATCCAGCTTGCTTACAAGCCATCTGTGCCGAGCCTTGTCGTCATTGGTCAGTCAGTGAACTGACCAGTGGCGAAGCGGTTGGCTACTTGATCCGCTTGATCCACTTCATCCGTTTCACTATTGGTCAATTCAGTTCACCGAACCGAGCAACGGCGAAGCGGATCAAGTGGATCAAGTAGATTAAGCGGTTCAGGTATGCCGCGTGCCTTGCCTTAAGTCTCCTTCAATATCTTTATTTTGCGACCAGCTGACTTACCCGGCTCCATCCGGCCCTGTCAAAACACTATGATAAATCTCTCATCCCTATCCCAGTACAACCTTTCCCTGTGCACCACGCCTCATGCCAATTCACTATTCCCGCTAATCGGCACGCTAGATTACCCCCCCCCCCTATGCCAACTCCCAGCCCCGTAGCTCAAACTTTGCAAAAAAATCGATAAGATCGATAATAGCGGATAATTCCAAAAAGTAATATCGTACTCGTGATCAGTATGCTCGATTACCCCCTTGTGCCAAATCTCAACCCGTACGTGAACTCCGTTACAAAATCGATAAAAATCGATAAAATCGTTATCCATCGATAACGAAAAGTAGTCTACGACACCCACCCCGCCCCGAAGTGTATGTGTGCCAGGTTTGGTCCGGATCGGTTCAGAAATAAAAATTTCTATTCGGAACATACCTACATACAGACATACACAGACATACAGACATACAGTCAAACAGACATTTAGCTTTATATATAAGATTACGCAAGCTGCAGCTCAGTAGATTCGGCGCAACTTCTATTCCGTAAGCTTATAGCTAACCAGCAGCGGGTAGAATACATGGTTCCTAATTTTTTCAAATTCGACACTTCTCTTGTTTCTTGTTTTTTTTCAGCTTGATGGATTCAAACCAGGGTCAAGCGTGTTGATGCGATCCGGGACCCTCATTTACGACCCCCCCCCCTTTACCTATCCGTACGACCTCGCGCCACATCTACCCCCCCCCTTACCTCCCTTGCCCAAATACCTCGCGGTAACCTGCGCCCGCAACGCAGTTGGCGTTTTTCTCGAGCGTGTACTCTCTGATCATTCTTTAGCCTTAGCTAGGTCACGCCTTCCCCGCCAATCTAGTTGAATCAAACGGGATCTCTCTTTGCCACATGTTTCCCGTAACACCACACCAAGTTAGCGTCTTGACACTCGTCCGCGCTTGTTGGAATAGAGTTCCGAAAACCTTCGTTTCCGGGAATTTCACGCAATTTCCAGTTTGGATAGAATTAGGGACGTCGAAAGAGCCGAAAACATGGAAGCGCCGAAAACACGGAAATCGAGATTTTGCCTGGACGCTGCCTTTGAGGATACAGTATTTCCCACGAAGCGTGTTAAATACCGTATCCTTAAGCAGCGAAAGACCCGAGCGAGGTGGCTGACTTAGGTTGAAAGCTCATGTACTTAAATGCACTATATATCACGCAGTAACTTACAAAAACGGGACAGAGGAGTAAAAAGAGGAACAGTAGAGAACTTACGAAGGCCACTTTTGTTTTTGATCTACTCTCCATTTTCTTCTTCAACAATGATATGACGTTCTCATAGCCTTGACCTGGTCGCGAAAAAGCCGTAGTTCTCGTGTTAAGACTCGTAATGACCTGTAAGCGCCTCATTGTTGCGCTATCCAAATTCTCTAGTCGTTATATCACATTCTGTATTTCTGGACTATAAAGAACTCGTGGCTGTGATGTAGGCGGAGGGGGTGGAGGAGGAGGTGGTGGAGCTGGTATCGGAGGCGATGATGGACGTGGTGGTGGAGGTGGTCGTGGAGGTGGTGGTGGAGGGAATCGTGGCGGAGGTGGAGGAGGCTAAATATATTGCGATTATGCAGAATACAAATTGGACAGACTCACTCTAGGAGGATGTCTGGGAGGAGGTCCCCATGGTGGCCATGGTGGTGGTGGTCTGGGTGGCGGAGGCCACGGTAGCTCATCAAAACCCTCTGGAGGTGGATGCCAAGGAGGAGGTGGTGGAGGACCAAACGGTGGCGGCGGCCCGGGAGGTGGGGGCCCTGGAGGTGGGGGCCCTGGCGGTGGCCCCCAAGGTGGCCAAGGTGGTGGTCGTCGTCGATGCCATGGCTCTGGAAATGGCGGACGCCATAGACCAGGACGTCTCCATGGTGGAGGTAGTGGCAGTTCAAATGGATCTGCTAATAGTAAGCCTTTTTCTATAATGCTCGATATGACTGTTCCGAGATTACACTAACGTCTTAAAATGGAAATATGCGTATTTTCGTACAAAAATCACACGCTCTCGGATACAGTTACACTTCATGCAGAGCATTAATGTCATTTTACCTTTTACTGTTTCTGCAAAGTACTGTAGAATATGCGTAATTTTGTTTCTAAACTTCACGTTTCTTTCCCCTATGACGTCTTTTGAGAGGTGTCACCTAAAGGCAGGTACAATTTAAGTCAATCATTGTTCAGCAACCGCGGTTTCTGGCGATAGGTGGTCATTCGATGAAGAGTGAACCGTTGTAAGTACAACCGACTGCGAACAAATCGTACGGAAGTAGTAGGAGCCCTTGTTGCGGATTATGCTGAGTTGGTACAGTCTCACTTTTATGATCTTGTGTGCATTGCACATACTATCCATCTTTGGCACGCCTTATGCACATCCTCATCCTGGGCAAAAACGCAAGAGGCTGACCGATTGTAATCGCATACACCACTTTGAGGTGATTAGTACATAAAAAGGAGGGAAAACATCAAAACACGCCGAAAACACTTACCTGAATGCCCCCTTCAAGAAACCAGGATGGAAAAACCTGGATAGTGCGTGCAATGACGCACATGATCATATAAAATAATTCGACTGTAGTTTGCGGTCTCGAACTTGCATCGGTATATATAGGAGTGATGATGCAGTCCATAATCTTTCTGACGTGGTTTTACTGATGAGTAACTTTTTACTTCTTGTATCTTGTGCAGACTGTTGCGCTTATGGTTAAGAGCTTCAATATCACGTAAGGAAAATAGATGATGAAAACTAGTTTCTCAGTTACACAGCAGCGGATAATCAAATACTCGCAAGATTTTCCTTTCATGAAACATAGTGCAAACTTTTACATCAAATTGCAACGAATTCGCTTGCAGGACATTATTACCCGTTCTACTGCCCGAAATGCCAATTTAAATTTCCATTAATTTTATACTCCGCATGAACCTTACTGCGTTTCGCCGTGCAGCTGCCAGTAGCCGCTATACGAAATTTTTGGCTCCACAAGAAGAATGGAAGACTTCAGTGAATAGCGACGTGTATTTTAGATGTGAAATTTGAAACAATGAAACACTTATTGTTTACCCACGACGTGATGATAACGTTGCAGTAATTCCTGTTGTTTAAAATATGAGTTTTGTGGTACCAAAGTTAATGATAAGTTCTCCAATGTGAAGTGGGAGTTTGTCAGTCGATGCCAGCGATTAGGCAGAGTTTATAGATGTGCCCTTTCCTCGTTTATCGAAAAGGATCCCCCACCACTCAAGTTGAACACGAGTTTGAAAACCCCTTGAACCAAGTGTTTTTTTCAAACACATTGACTTCAATGCTTTTGAAAGCAAAAAAATGCAGGGCTGTATATTTTTGGAAAGGATGCTAAGTCGTAGGTGCTGCATATGTATACTATTAGGTCGTTCCGAAAGTAATGTCGCTTTTTTCAAATGAACGCCACATTTCATGGAATCAAGATTTTCAAGAGATCTTAAGAGCATTCGATGCAGCATTTCATCCTCTTTCTAATGCTTGTAACTCCATTGCATAATTTTCATTTAACTTTCGAAAAATCAACAAAATCTGCCACTCATGCATTTTGCCATGGTCAAGTTCGGCAATTTTTCAAAATTTTTGCACCTAACCTCCGAACAAGTACAAGTGGCAGGTAGATAGAGCAAACCCTATAGGACACAAAATAGTTTTTTTTCTTTTCCTTAGCTTGCTTCTTAGAGTTTCTGGAATCAGTTTTGAAATGCCATCAAATTCCATATTTGGTCAACTCAAACCTCACAGAACAACAATCGGCAAGCAACTCGTGTGTCATTCGACGCAGCTTTTTCTCCTCTTTTTACGAGTTGTTTTTGGTTTCCGAATCATCAAGTTTTCCGAGATAAAATCAACATAATTCGGGTTTTCCAGGGCGCCTCCGGCTGTACCCGGAATTTTCGAAAGTTGCTAATCTGAAGCGGTAAACGCTCGTTTGCTTTGTAAAATTAGTGTGAAACCATAAGCCATTTTTGTGAGTTTCAAAATCCAACGATTTCTTGGTGTTTGATGAATTTGTGTCTGAGACGAGCCTGCTAAGATTCGATGTTTCCATCAAAAAGTCTATACAGAAATTATGACGAGCTCCGAAAAGTAGAAAAAAGTTGTGCAGTTCCCCGTAGGGTTTGCTCTATCCATACATAACTTGGACTCCTTCCGGGGATTGTTATAAAAATTTAGAAAAATTGTGAAACTTGACCTTCTCAAAAAGCATAGGTCGCAGATTCCGATAATTTTCCCAGAGATTATTTAATTTTGTGCGGTAATTATATAACCACTAGAAAGGGAATGAAATGCTGCATCAAATGCTACCAAAATCTCTTACACATCTTTGTTCCACGAGATGTGGCGTACGTTTGAAAAAAGCGACATTACTTTCGGAACGACCTGATATTTTAGGATGTAACTGTACAAAAAAAACCGAGAGTCAAGAAATGCGATAATGTTTGAAAAAATCCAGGTTTTTTCATAATACTGTCTAGCGCTCAACAGGGACTTTCTCCTTCTTCATTCTTTTGCTTCAAACTCAACAGAAATGGAAGCCGTTTCAAGGAATCGTTTAGGGCGCACTACATAGCAAAATTTCAGTCACGTTCACCAAGAACGCAAACTACTTTGATTTCTAGAGTGACTTTATGATTTTGTCCAGCACTATAGGCTAGGATATCGACTAGTGTCACAGCGCCAGCGCCTACGCGCGTGGCCGCATCGCGGGGACCTTGCGCTGTGTACGCGAGGATGTATTCTCGGGCGCATTGTATTCTATGTGCGCCAGCTTTTCGTCGTCGTTCAAGCATAGGAAAATAGGATAGGTATGACTCCTTTCGTATGATAACCTTTTTTGTAAGGTTACGATAAGAAATTACTTTGAAAACAGTGAGTGTGATAGGCGTTCAGCGCAGAAGATTGCTGCGTAACAAATCATATGACAGTTTTTTCAACCCGGAGTAGGCGAGACATTTCAAGTGGAGCAGTGCGTCCGCACGCCACTGGCTCAGCGAGGTAGATTAGAATGAAGGGACGTAGACTGCAAAGCGGCGCGAATCTTTGCGAAGCGGACTCCCGCCAGTCCAATTTCCGCCTAAGATGAATTGAAACTTACTAAGGTTAGCGAGTTAAATTTGTCGGTTTTACTCCTAAGGATTCTACAGACAATTTTTTGTCCAAAATTCTGTAACTTCGGGGAAAGGCACTTCAATTAGAATTGGAGGGTAAATTCTGTTTGGATAGAATTTACTTTTGAGTCAAAGAGATCAGCAAAGAAGTGAGACACCACAGTTTCATTGTGCCCAAATATATAAAAATGATTTTTTTGGGCCAAAGGATTTTGAAGGCAAATCACGTTTTTTATTGACGGTCGATAAGGAGGGAAAACTTGTTTGTATCCAAATACCAAATTGTTATTCTCTACATCCACTAGAGCGTAAAAGGGCAGCTTCGAAAGTCGCAGAATTGAGTTTTTGGAATTTTAGCCATGTTGGGCATAACTGTCTTGTATCAATGATTTGAAATTCTGAATATTATGTGTAATGGGAGAAGCTTTGAACTACTTACAACTCGTGGTTGAAGAACAACTAAGAAAGTTTTTATGAAGATTTTCATGCCAAAACGAGATTATTTTTAAGCCCGCCTAATAATATTCGCTTGCTAAGTATGTGCTGACAGGTGTCCTTGTGTCTATTGACAACAACGACTTGTTCGACTTCTGTGATCCCCACATCCTCACTCTTTTGCTTCCTTCCATACTTAGCTTGGTGAAGCAATCCCTGGCAACACATTGTTGACAATTTTGGATAGCTATACTTGGTCTAGGGTGTGCGCGGCTTCTTATTTTTTTGCGATAACCCTAAAACTTCAACTACCAATTCTAAATCAAGCGTGGATTTTCATTTTATTAGCAATAATCAACTATCACGCACATTCGCAGACACATCTTGGTTATATGCCAAAATTTTGGTGCGCCATATTGGAAACGAAAAATTATCTAAGTGATTGCATTTTCTAAATGCGAACTAAATAATTGGATACAAAGCTGTTTTTGTCGTTCTTTTTTGATATGCAATGTCAATCTAAGTTGAAATTTGTCTTCGTAGAAATCATCCGTTCTGGACCGAATGATGATGTGACACAAAGTTCGGCGAACTCCCGTGACCGTGGTCTGGGAAGCCGCGTGTCTTTGCAAAGTATGAGCAGTATTGTATTTTAAACAAAACTCCACGTAAGTCCATAGGCCTTGAACAGAAGGTCGGAAACCTTTTCAAAGTCAAGAATTGTTTTGCAAGACAAGTTCGCCTTGCGCCGGGCTTAAAAAACCAGAGAAATTTGAAAATCCCTGCCAAGGGTGCACCAGCTCTTTTAGGCAAAAGACCTTTGCAGCAGTAGCGGACTGAGGTTGAGGGCGCGGGAAATGTGCAAGCGCCTTGTTTATAGTAAATAAATAAAGTAACTTTTTAAATTTTCTAGAATCGGTTAGCCTTATAAAAAGAATTTCCAGGGTTATAGGTCCTCGAAATCTTTGTGAGACACAAAAAACATATTCAAAGTGCACGGCTGCCATGCGCCTTCATTTGGAAAAATTTTGTCCCGTTCCCCCCCCCCCCCGACCGGAAATCCTGGGGCGGCCACTGCTTTGCAGATATCAAAATTTTTTACTACAAATGAAAGACTTCACATGTTCACGGCTCATATGGATCTATCATGGAAATCAGGTTCGATCCGCAAGATAGAATACATTATATCAAAATTTGCAGAACAATAAAACAATTATCGCCAGCCGATCTTATAAAAACACGATACGTTCATGTAAATATCAGGAGCATCCTACTTATTATTGCCAAAAAGCTGTGAGATGGAACTTGGCGCGCGTCGTAGAGCATGTACTATTCCTAC